TACACATTCACGCACACTGCCCCAACCCATATCTACGAGGATGTACATTCACATAAACTCATTCAAAATATAGCCATTCATATGCATACACATTCATCCCACTCCGAATGCATGCATTTACTTTACCCAAAGCAAAGATGTGCGCAAACATGAATGCACACCCGCCCACAGGGAGTGTGTATCCACATGCAGCCCACAGAGATGCAGCATAATCAAATAAACATTCCGCGTTCTTTCTGGGTGGCCATCCGGCAGCATGGACTCTACCTTCCCTTCTCTGAAAATGGGGCCACCGTTTGCCCAGTGGCTCAGCCAAAAACCTGAGCGTCGCCCTTGATTCCACCATCTTCCTCCCCCTCCAGCTCGAGGCCGTTTGTAAAGCCAATCATTTCTCTCATCTCTGAAGCCATCATTCTACTCCAGGACACCGTCTCTCATCTGCACCACTGCTAGAACCCTCTCCCCGATGTCCTCATTCCCACTGTTGCCGCTTACAATCCGTCCTCCATGGGGCAGTCTGAAGGGAAAGACCTTTCAGCGGCGTCCATGGCACTTTAAACAAAATGCAGGCTCCTTACCCAAGCCTGTAAGTCTGCAGGATCAGACCTCTGTGTCCGGCGCCCTGACCTCATCTCACACACCCCTTCCCAACCTCACCTCCGCAGCCTCCTTTCACGCTCTCAAGCATGCCAACCCCTTCCTCCTCCAGGCCCTTTGCACATACTGCTCCCTCCAAGTGGGATGCTTTCTCCCTGGCTCTTCCTAGGGCCCACACTCACCATCTAGGTCTCTATTGAAAAGTCACCTTCTCAGAAAGGTCTCCCTGATTATCTGGTCCACACAGACTACTCGCCCTTATTCGCAATCCACTGGCTCTTGTTTCCTGCAGAGCACTTACCACCATAAGTAATTTCTTTATATTTATCCTCTGCCCTTCCCTCCAAGCCTGCACTGTCCAATAGTGTAGCCACGGGTGGCTATTTAAATTTAAATTAGCTAAAATTAAATAAAACCAAAACTTCAGTCCTCAGTCATCCTAGTCGCATTTCGAGTGGTCATTAGCTGCACGTGGCTCGTGGCTACTCTACCGCACAGCATGAATATTTCCATCCTCACAGAACGTTCTCTTGATAGGGTTTCTCTAGTCTGCAGCTTAGAGCAGGGCTACGGCTGCTCTACTCACCAACACGTGCTCTGTGCCCAGCATGGTGTCTGGCACATGGTAGGGGCTCAAGAAATATTTACTGAATGAGCTCACACACGTGCACACAGTAGGAACTCTCCTGTTACTATGCCCTTCCACCTATCAGAGACCCGATTCAAAAGCCACCCCTTTCTTGAAGGCTTCTTGTCTCCCTTCTCCTCCCCATTCCCCCAGCTCAAAGCTTGTACGTCTATGACAAATGGGTCCTTATTGACCACAGCCCTGAGTTCACCGCAGGCACTTGTACCCCATCCCGGCTGAGAGGAGAGGAAAGGAGGAAGCGTCCAGGGCCGTGTCCTCATCAAGGCGCCCTCTGTCTATCTCTTTGGAGGCAGGAGAGTAATTACATTTAAAGCACAACCCTGGACACGGGCAATCCCAGGTTCACATCCCAGCCCGGCCACTTACTCGCAGTTCGTTGAACCTCTCTGAGCCTCAGTTTCCTCATCTGGAATATGCACATCGTAACACATACTTCACAGAACTGCTATTAGCAGTGAAAGATAGAATGGATGTCGAAGATGCTGCACAGGGTTCCCTTGGAAGGTGGCGTCCCCCTTAGTGGAAGCAGGACTCATTTATATCCTGCCTGCTATATGCAGAGCGCTGTGTGGAAACCTCTGTTTTTGCCAGCAACGTCTGAAACTCTTTATAGATGCATGTTCCAGGTCACTGCCCAGATGACCCCATGAGTAACCAGGCTCTGATCCTAGCCCAGTGGCTGCAATTCTGGAACAAAACAACCCCTGGCTGTGTCTCAGTGATTAGTTTACATGCTATTGAAAGACTGCTACCGATACCAATATTTTGTTAAAAGCAAGCTCGATTACCACTGAACCCCGCACTGGTCCTCAGGCGTCCTTCCACCTGAGACAGAGCGGGGTCCGTGACTGAGCTGCCTCAGTCCTTCTGGCTTGAATCTCCCCAGGTAGGCTGATGGGGAAAGAAGGTCCTGGCCGAAATAAATGATCAGAAAGGAAGGAGGGTGCCCCATGAGGAAGCAGCTGGCTCAGGAGGAGAATGGAGGGGAGATCAGAGGGAATCTCGCCACCAGGCAAAATACAGTGTCATGCGGTCGTCAAGTCAGGGAACCTGACACCAAACCGCCCGGTCCAGTCCCAGTCTGCTCCTCCACGGCTGCGTGGCCTTGACCAAGTTACCTGTCCTCTCTACGCCCTTATCTGTGAAGCAGAGATGATAATACCTACATCGGTAGGTTCTCTGAGAGAGTAAATTAGTTAATATTCACAAAGTGCTAAGAATGGAGCCTGGCACGGGTTAAGTTCCACGTGAGGGTTTGTTGAATGAATTGGTGATGAGGGTGGAGGACAGCTAAAAGTTGGGTCTAGGGACCCTCCCATGCCTTTGCCCTCTCTCCTCCCTCCGTCCCCTTACCAAACCTTCTTCCCATTTTCTCTAAAGTCCTCTGCACCCAACCATTCTCTCCCCGATTCTAGGCAGATTCCATCAGAGACCCAAAGTGGCTCTGAAGGAAATACAAGTGTCAGAAACATGGGGAAAGACCCTCAGCCACTCATCCTCATGACAGTCATGTGCCACATAACGACATTTCAGTCAAAAACAGACTGTGAATACGACAGTGGTCCCACAAGATTAGTACCATACAGCCTAGGTGTGTGGTAAGCTATCCACCATCTAGATTTGCGTATACTCTATGATGTTTGCACAACGACAAAATCGCCTAATGACACACCTAACAAACATATCCCCGCCATTAAGTGACAAGTGACTGTATTATCCAGGGTGTAGCAATTAAACCTGCAACAAGAGATCTTGCACAGGTCTCACAGACGCCTGAGAGGTGCTCAGAACGCTTTCTGAATGAGTGCACCTTTGTTCAGTTGGAAATCTTAATGCGGCACATAACCCTCTGGGTAGACTCCAGACATCCATGATTCCGATTTTTTTAAATACTGAAATAACACTGGTACCCTAGCAAAATTGCCTGAGTTTCAGTGCTTAACAACAGTGCCGTGTACCAGAACCCCAGAATATTAAATTTTGTAAAGTCTTCGAATCCCCTTATCATACCCAAATTTCATGGTCAAGAGTTGTTTTGGGAAGAGGACCCATAGCCTGTCCACGGAGGCAAGCCCCTCAGTGAAGCCTGGGACCAGGGATGTGGGGCAGTGGGGGCAGGGAGGAAGAGGAAGCAGAGAGAAAGAATGAAAAAATAAATTATTGAAAAGGACAGAGGAGCATCAGGCCTGTGGGAGGCAGCACAATGCCCTCAAAGACACCCATGGTTTAATTCCTGGGATTTGCACATGCAGATCTTTCAGGGCAGAAGAGACTTTGCAGATGTGATTAAATGAAGGGTCTTGGGATGGGAAGATTATCCTGATTATCCCAGATAATCACAAGGATCCTTATAAGAGGGAGGCAGGAGGGTCAGAGTCAGAGAAGGAGACGAGATGACGGAAGCAGAGGTTGGGGTGATGCAAGGCCACAAGCCAAGGACCGTGGGAAGCCTGGAGAAGCTACAAAAGGCAAGGAAACAGATGCTGGCCCAGAGCCTCTAGAAGGAACACTGCCTGCTCACCATCTTGTGCCTCTGACCTCTAGAACTGTAAGATAAGATATCTGTTGTTGTTTTAAGCCACACAGTTTGGCTTAAAAAGTTTCTTGTCACAACAGGAAACGAATACAGAATCCATAACAGATATGAGGGTGATTAATTCAACAAAGATTTATGGAAGGCCTGCTATGTGCCAGGCCCTGCTCTAGGCACACAGGGAAGCAGATAAAGTCCTCTGTCCTGGAGCTTCTCATACTAGTGGGAAAAGAGACAATAAATGAGTCAACAGGTGGGATAACTTCAAATGGTCCGTGAAGAAAATAAGAAAGGGTGACGTGATAGAAAGTTACTAGTTGTGCAGAGGGGCTGCCTCAGATTGAGAGGTCAGGGGAAAGCTCTCGGAGGAGGTGGCTAGAACGACAAAGAGCTAGCCAGGTAAAGATGTGGGAGAAGAGCATCTAAGACTGTATGGTTTAACCTTTGCTCCTAACAAACCACCTAAAACGTAACGGCTCATAGCAACAGCCATTTATTTGCTCCCTATATTGCAACTTTGGCAGAGCTCATTGAGAACTCGGCTTCATGTAGCATCAGTTGGGATGGCCCAGTTGGGGTTGGCAGGTATATTTTCAATAGAGTTCACTCACTTGGTCTAGCGAGTTATTCTGTCTGCCAGCTGGGAGCTCATCTGGGGCTGTCGTCTGAGTGTGAAAATTAGCCTCCACTTGGACCTCCACATGGCTGCTTGGGCTTCCTCACAGTATGGTGGCTGAGTTCCAAAAGGGAGGAAACAGAAGCTGCCAGTCCAGAATTGGCACAGCATCATTTCTACCCCATTTTCTTGGTTAAAGCAATCATAAGCCAGCCCAGAGTCAAGGGGGCAAAGAAACAGACTCCACCTCTCGGTAGGAGGAGAGACAAATGATCTGTGGTCATCTCTAATCCACCACATATACCAAAAATACTATAGTTGCAAAAGCCCCAAGGTGAGAATGACCTCAGGAGGCTTGAGGACAGAAGCAGGGCTGGAGAAGAATGAGCAAGTTAGCAAAGAGGAGAATGGTGGATGAGGTCAGAAAGGAAGGTGGCTACCAGATTGTAGAGGGCTTGTCAGCCATGCTAGAGTTTAGATTTTATTCCAAGGTAGGGGCAAGGTTGGAAGCAGATTATTGCAATGGGAACATTCACTAAGGCAGGAAACGATGAGGCGGCACAGGGCTCGGTTTCTGTTGTTTGAATTTTCATCTTTTGAGAGCGATGGAAGATGTGGGGGAAGAGAAGATGATCGGTCAGTTTTAGACTAGCAGCGTTTGGGGAGCAACAGAGAGTGGCAATTAAAAGCATGGGCCGTGGCCATTGCTAATTTGTGATCTTGAGCAGGTAACCTATCTTTTCTTAACCATAGTTCCCATAAAATGGAGATGATAATATCTATCTTATAAAATTATTGGGAAGATTAAATGAAGTCATTAATTCATTCAACAAATGTATATTGAATGCCAATTATGTACCTGAAAAGGACTACAAATGACTGTACCTCCATGGAGCTTATAATCAAATGCAAAATGATATAGATATAAATAATTCAGTGCCTGACACATCATACTGCTCAGCAGCTATTTTCATTGTTGCATTTGAGGGGCCTATGGCACCCCCAGGTGGCAAGTTTCGACAGTCAGTTCGATATTCAGCCTGGCTCTCAGGAGTGACTCAATTGCCATTTACTGAACCTACCAGACACCAGACACTGTACCAGGCTCTTCCACATCCGCTAGCTTCCCTCTTCTTCCCAGCCATGGAGCTAAGAATATGGGGCATCGGATGCCAGGCTGAATGATTTAGACCAGGCACCCAAAGGGCTGCATGATGTGACCCCGATGCATCACAGACACATCAGCCGGCAGTTTGTCACTCCTGCTGCTTCTAGAACTCAGATTGTAGGAGGTGCTTCCTGTGTGCCAGGCACCCTTTGAAACTTTTCACGTGTATTATCTCACATCCTCACAATTGCCTCAGGAAATAGGTTCTGTTGTTGCCCCCATATCACAGAGGGGAACACTGAGGCCCAGAGTCATAAAGCTAGTCATTGGCAGATCTGGAATTCTAACCTAGGCAGGTTGATTCCAGAGACCACTACACTACACTGCCATACAGCCGTCATTTGGAATCCCCAAATCTAAGGGTGGCAGGAGAGCCTGCAGCCTTCCCTTTGGTGGGGGGAGGCGCACGAGATGCTGCAGCCCTCTCTGGAGAGCCTGGGAGAGGATGCTGCAGTGAGACAACCAGCATGGGAGTGAGATCAATATGGGCCAAGGCCTGATGCCACCGCTCCCCAGCTGCAGATGTTATGGAAGGACCTAGACTCACTCAGCCCCACAGAGATCCCTGTTCATCCATTCTTTCACTCAGCAAATAGGTATGGAGTCTTCCGTGTGCCAGGAACTGTGCCCTGAGCCAGACGCTGTCCCCCGTCTTCACGAATCTGACATTCTAGCTAGGATGATAGACCAGAAAACAAGTGAATACACAAATAAAATAATTTCCAGGCCTAACAAGCACCAGGAAGGAAATTAACAAGGGGCCGAGGGGTAAAAGCAGGGGAGCGGACCTACTTTGGATAAGCGTGGTCACCCGAAGGCTAAGAAGCAGCCGGCCACGCAGAAAGGAGGAGCAAGAGCATCCACGCAGAGGGCAGAGCATGCACAAGGACCCCGGGAAGTTTGGGAACGAGGAGCCCAGCACGGCTGCGTGCAATGAAGGGATCATGGCATAAGATGCTCGTCACTCTTCCCGGCTTGTCACGAGCATGAAAGAGGATCGTGCTTCTAAGGCAGTAGGCGTGACGCCTGACATGTGGTAGACACTTAATAAATGTGAGTTCTCTTTCCCCCTCCCCCAGCTGACTGCTCTGGATCCAGAGAGAGGCTCCTTCTCGGGGACCAAGGCTTCTGGCCATCTTCAGCCACGAAGCCCTAAGGGCTCCTCGGGGTCCCCGAGCTCCAAGCCTGTTTGCCACCATCCAAGTACACACTTTCTCCCTTTGTCTAATTATTCCTAATTGGAAGAAAAATTGTTCGGCAAATCAGCTGGCATATTCTCGGCTCCGGTGTCCTAGCAACCCAGCTCTCATGGGTGACACCGGAGAGGAGGCGCTTCGCCGCCTCCGCACTGCAGGGAGCGCCAAGGAAGGGCTGGCGAGACAGCTACGCCCCCAGACTTGCCGACGCCCCTGGCTGGGGCCCCGCACGCCCGCCCCCACCATCCACATGCGCGCGCACACGCGCGCACACACTACACAGAGGCCACGAGCGCTCGCCTCTGCCTGAACCGTAACCTCAGCCTTTCTGGAAAGCAGAAGGTGTCTCAAAATTAGATTTCTAATTTTCCAGCCACCTGCTCGGCTGAAAGATACTCTGGAGTTTATAATTACTTTTCAGGCACTTAACTAGAGTCTAGTTTCTAGGGCAACTTGGTGCATCTCTTAATGTGTTTATGGATAAATCGTGCCTTCCAGCTCAGCCAGGATGGCCAGAGAGCCCCCCAAGCCAGGCCCAGGGGAGGGGACTGCCTCCCAGGTTCAGGCTTTTTAAGAACAGTAATGCTGACCTCCAGGGCGTTTGGGAGGGAGCAAATGAGATGACGTGGGTTCAGCTCCTGGCACAGGCGTGGGAAGTTCTTCGAGAATATTTAGCAGCAGTAGTAAAGGTTCTAATGAAAACAGATGACACGACCTCCGCCTTCTGGGAACATGCAGGCTCAGGGGCCAAGCCGCAGAGGCAGAAACACCCGCAGTCTCTGGAGAGTTTGGTACCAGGCGGCCCCAGGGGGCTTAAATCCCAAGGACTCTATTTATTGGCTGTATGATAATGGCAAGTTATTCGCCATCTGTGTGCCTCAGTCTCCCTTCCTGGGAAGCAAAGATAATGATGGGACCCGCCTCAGAGGGTTGTGATGGGGCTTAAAAGAGTTAATTCATGGAAAGCGCTTAGCATAGTACCAAGCTCATAGCGAGGGCTGAGTAAATATTCTATTACTTTTTATTGAAAAATCACAGAACAGCTTCCCCGGGTCCAAGAAAGTCCTGTGTGGGCTACAGGAGAGAGAGATGGCTTCAGGGAGCTTGCAAACTAGAGCAGAGGTCCCCGGGGAGAAAAAATACATACATATTGTAACTTCTATTTGTATTTTTATCTCATCCTTTTAAATTTATATTTTATGTATGTCTTATGATGTGTATATTTTATAAATAAATGAATATTTATTCCTCAAGAAAGTTTCAAGGACAGGGGAACATGATTCAAAAAAGGGTAGGAGCAAGGAGGTAAAACAAGTTATTTTGAATGGAAGAGGCCCTAGGGGTTATTCGGCCAACCCCCAACCACATTTCACACATGGGGACAGTAACCGAGGGCCAGAAAGGAGGTCGCACTTAACCCAGTGTCACACCAGAAACAAGGAGCCAATGCCCGAGAGATCCACAGAAGGCCCAAGAAGCTGGAGCTGCAGAACTCCCAGGAGACAAGAGTCCCATGGGCGGTGCAGTCAGGAAGGCTTCCTGTAGGAGGGTACAGGAACCACCAACCTTTGAGTGGAAGAGCAAGGTCCCATCTAGGCAAACCCAGAACAGAGAAGAGGAGCCACAGCTTATAAATCCCTCCACAGCGGGCTCCCCAAGGGTCATGACATGCAGTGGACACTCCCACCAAGGCCAATTTCAAACACCAGGGATTTCATACCAGGCAAATTTCCTGAATCTGTAACATCCACTGCGAGCTGGCGTCAGCAGGTCCTGAAGGGACGCCCCCACGGTCGAGGTCAGCTGACCCTGGCGCCCACCCTCTCTGAACATTCCCCTGCTCCTCCTCCTCCCTCAGTCTCCCTTTCTCTGCATTTTTGTCGTCTTCCTGTCTTCTTTGGGTCAGTCTCTCTCTTTCTTGTGGTATCTGGCCATTCTCTGACCTGCACTGAGGGGCCAGGGAGAGGTCTCCTCCCAGGCTCTGTATTTGGGGGTCCCTGTCTCTCCCCGGCTCTGCTTATGTGTGTCTGGGTCCCCCAGCCTCCTCAGTACACCTGTCTCCACTCACGTCTGTGGGTCTGCTTGACTGTCTGTCACCTCCCTGGGCCTGGTTCTCTCTCTGAGTCTCTCTCTCTGGCTCTGAGTGTGTGTGAATGGGGGCGGTGCACATCTGGTTCTCTGCGTCTCAGGTTCTGTCTCTCTGTCTGTCTGCCTGTCTGCCTCACTTCTCTCCGGACCTCTCTCTAAGTCAGTGATTCTTGAAGTGTCATCCTAGGGCCAGTGGCATTCCTTGGGAGTTTGGGAGAAATGCGCACACTTGGCCCCACCCTCAACAAAGACCCTCTCCTCGACCAACTCTGCTCAGGCTCCTCTGAGCTCTTTTTCCATCAGGGCTCAATTTGTGTTCATCTCTGCATTGTCTAATTGTGGCATGAATCCTGCTAAGTCCCTTTAACCAGAACTCCGCACCTTTGATATCTGATTGGGCTCCTCATCCTCCACCCCCCGCCCCCAGGTGATGTCTGATCACCTGGCCTGCCCCAGCAAGAATCCTGTGGGGTCAGTTTAGCTACAATCCCCCCTGACCCCTGACGCCTCCTCTTAGTAATTCTCCATCCACTGACCCCCCCACTCTGCTCCTGGGCTGTCAGGTCCCACTTGCCCCTGAATAAAGTCTGCCTTCTGTGCTTTAAGCATCATTGAATGTTTTTTTCTTTAACACCCCAGACAGACTGAATCCAAAACTCTGAGAGTGGGGCCCCGCAATCTGTTTTCTATGAGCCCTCCAGGGGTCCAGGGGCTTCTGATGCAGGTCAAGTTTAAGCACCAAGTCATTCTCTTTCTGGCTCTCCTGGGAGGGGGTGCTGGAAGGGGGCCACTGGCTCTCGGCCTCGTCTGTCACTATGTCACTCTCCCTGTAGGTCCAGGTCTGTCTCTCACACCCGAGGCCACTGGACAGGAGGCAGCTGCATCCCCGGGGGTGCGCTTCACTCACTGCCCCCTGTCCCCAACAGCTCGGACACAAACGAAGAGCAGACAGCTAAGAAAAGGGGAGCTGCCCAATCAGAAGCACAGAGCAGCTTGTTGACTGACTGCAAAGCCTGGGAAGGAAGGCTGCTGTGGATTAACTGGCAAACAGCAACTGCTGGCTCTGCTGGAGACGATCACAAGGTGTGGTCTGGTCACCTGTTACAGGGGCTCTCCCCTCTGGCTGCACCCAGAATCGCCTGGGTGCTTTCAAAGCATCCTACCTGCTGAGCATCCCACCTGCTGAGACCTAGTCCCGGAGAGTCTGATCCCGTTGATCTGGGCTGAAGCCCGGGCATCAGTATTTTTTAAACACTACCTGGGTGATTCTAATGCACAGAGAGTAAAGTCCTAATGTAACCCTCAAAACCCCCTTAAAGATGGAGATCAGGATCCCCCTTTTACAGGTGGAGAAACTGAGGCTCAGCGAGGGAAAGAGCTTGACCAAAGTCACATAACTAAAAGTGGCATAGCCAGGATTTGAACCAGAGCTCTGGTCCACGTTCTTTATTCCACTCTGTGCTGTGCATTTTGCACATAACACTGTCATGCTCCACCACTCACTCACTTCTGGTCTCCCAGAGTGGCTGTACGTTGCCCACTCCAGCCAACTCAATGGCACCCCCTCCCACTTCACCCCAGTTCTCTGCAGCTTGGAAGGCCCTGGCCCTGGGCCGCCAGCTCTGCACCTCAGAAACCGGTGACCTATCACAGGATGCCTCCCAGTAAGGGAACTCTCTTCCTTGCACAGCTTGTAAGATTTTTGTTATTTCCCCACCAGGGAAGTTTCCTTCCTGATACCGCCCAGAATACCTCCCCACATCCCCACTCCATGTAAACACTCTTCTCCAGGCGCCCGCTGTGGCATGTGGCCAGCAAATTTCACGTTGCATAAGGCCGGTGTTTGCTTTCTCTCGGAGTCCAGACGGACGCAGCCTCCCCGCCGGAGCCAGGGCCCCGTGCTCCGCAGCCACCACACCAACAGCATACGACTGCCCCACAGCAGTCTCTCAGACCCAACCACAGAAGCGCCTCCACCGTAGGAGGGACCCCAGCCCTGCAGGGGTCTGGGCTGCGGGCCCCTCTAAGCTCAAACCATCTTTGAAGCCTTGTATTTTCTCTTTAAAAGCCAGGTGAATTTTGCATTCTACTCCACAATGTGTCAGAGTTTGTTTCAATGAAAAAAAATGCCTATTGATTGAATTTTGACAAGGAACATGTATTACTTTTGTGATGTAAAATATTCAATTAATAGGTAAATATAATGCTGCTAATTCCTTACCATGGAGTAAAAATGATGATTTGGACAGATGCCACGTTTACTCTGTAGCTTTATGAATTCCCAACACACTGAGGGTGTCCTCAGGGACGTCCATAATGCATTCATTCTTTCTTTCATTCACTCATTCAACAAATATTTTTGGAATGCTTATGGTATCCCAGGCGTAAGGCTAGAGTCTGGGGATATAATGATGAATAAAAGGGAAATGCTGGCTGCCTCCAGGGAGCTTCCAGTCTACTCAGAAGATCGAGATGTTAGCGCACACACACACACCCACAAATAAAAGGACAATAACTTGTAATAAATGCACTGTAGAAAAAGCAAAGGATGCACTGAGCAAGAATAATGGGATACTAAATTTGTTTCCAAGAAAGTGACATTTAAAGTGAGACATAAAAGATGAATAGGAGTTGGCCAGGTAAAAGAGAGCAGTGGGAGAATGTTCCAGACATAGGTAATAGCCCGTGTGAAGAGGGAAAGGAAACAAACCCCAGCCTTTCTAGAGGCTCAGAGATGAATCTTTCATCATCTGCAGCAAGAGCTTGCAGGCTCGAAGCAGGAGCAGGCCCACTTCCCGGCCCTGTGGGGCAGCCAGGCCCTCTGCCAGACACACCCAACTGCAGTCTCTGGGCACAAGGCCACCTGTCACCACGCAGCCAGCTTCTAGCTCAACACCGGCCCTGAAGGAGACCCCGGAGCCAGGTGGGGTGAGGGCTGGCAGGACGCATAGATTCAGCCCTGGGTGGGAAAGCATAGGATTGTGGTCGACTCTAGATCCAGGCCAAGCCCGAACGAATCCTCTAGGGCTTCCCCACATCTTCCCTGATGTCTGGCCACAGCATTTTGGGGACACATGGGCATGGGGAACAGCCCTTAGGTATACAGGGCCCTCTGCCCTGTGAGCCCGGGTCTCGTCAGAGATTCCACCTGGTGCCAAGGTCAACACCTCACCTTGCGCTCCAGTTGTGAGCCCGTGGCCCCTGTTCCTGATGCTCAGCCATGACATCCTTCCGGGCAAGCCGGTCCATGTGGGATTGGGGGCTGCCTCCCTCCTGCCTGAGACAGCATGTGTCCTGAACCCTCTGCCACCGTGGCAGTGGCATGCTGGTTCTGGGGTCCGCACCTCCCCCACTATGCTCAGCCCACCTGTTCCCCAGGATGCCTCTCACCGTCTGCCTAGATTGTTCCTGGCAGACCCTGGCTTTCTCCCACCTAGATTATTGCCACAGCTTCCTGTCTGGACTTTGTGTTTTGCTCATCCTTGCTCCCACATCGAGAGTGACCTTTCTAAAAACACAAGTCTGATGGTGTTGCTTCCCTGCTTCACGCATTTCAGTGAACTCCCCATGGCCCTTAGGGTAATCAAGGTCCTGCATAAAAGTCGGACAAGTTCTGGGTCCCCCCCCCCCCCCCACCCGCCCCCGCTCTCATCTTCCAGAAAGAAGGCTCGCAGAGAAGGTTAGGGAAAGAGTGGGAGGAGGCATTCAGAAGCAGGAGCACAAGCCGGAACACCCCAAACCTTTGGCCTGAGCGCCCCCGCACCCCACCCAGCAGCCTCCGCCCCGCGAGGGGCTGGAGCGGGAGCTGGCAGCAGAGCAGGCCTCTGTGACGGCGGAGGCTGCAGGAGCTGGGGCGCCCAGCCGCGCCTGGGCCTCTGCTGCCACCCAGAGGCTGAACGGAGCAGCACAGGCGGCCGAGCAAGTCTTGCCGCAACCCGGAGGCGGAGCTCCTCTCCCCGGGGACTCGCCATGGTGAGCGAGGTTCCGTCAAGGGCGGCGCCAAAAGCAAGGAGTGATAGCGTCAGGATCCAGCCTAATGGGTCCTAAACACAGTTCTATTATGCATCTGTCATAATACTTTGTAATTTACCTGTTCCTACGTCTGGCTCCTTGCTAGACCCTATAGGCTCACAGAATAATCCCATGCCCTCTGGTCAGCCAGCCTCTCCAGCCTCTCAACCCCTTAAGGCTCTCCCCTCCTCTTCCCAAACCCCTGGGTCCTGGGTAACCATCCCAGGACAACCAACTCCAGGGCAGCTTCAGCGTCTCCACACACACCCTCCACCACCTGCCGAGGGAGTTCTTGCTTCTCCCCCACCACCATGTTTGTTTGCTCATTCATTCATTCATTCACCAAATACTTACTGAGAGCTGGTAGGTGCCTGGCTATAGGCTAGACTCTGGGGTTATAGCTGTGAACAGACAGACAGGGTTCCCCCTCTCAGGCAGGTACCTTCTAGTTGAGGCAGGCAGACAATCAGATAAATGACCAAGGTAATTTGAGGTAGTGATACACTGAGCCGTGTGTTAGAGAGCGCTAGGAGGGTGGCAGCGGGGAGAGAAATCGGTGGTCAGGAAACGCGTCTCTGAAGCCAGGTGTAATGGCTTTAAAATACGTCCACTGCCTTGAAAAAGTGGAATCTAACTTTCTTCCCCATAAGCCCCATAAGCGCGGGCTATACTTGGCAACTCACTTCTAACGTAAAGAATGTGGTAGAAATAATGGTGTATTGACCATATATGACTTCCAAGATAGGGCATCAAAGGCACTGTGGATTCTTCCAGGCTCTCCGTGTCATTTTGGATCACTCACTGAGGGGGAAGGCAGCTTCCATGTCATGAAGATGCTCAAGCAGCCTTGTGGAGAGGCCCACATAGCTGAGAACGGAGGCCTCCTGCCAACATCCATGTGAGTGTGCCATCTTGGAAGTGGCTCCTCCAGTCTCAGCCAAGCCTTCGGATGACTGCAGCTCATGCCAACATCCTGAGTGCAGCCACCTGAGAGCCCCTGAACCAGAACTACCTGCCTACGCCACTCAGGGCCAATCCATCCACTAGACACAGAAGGCACACTGCCCAGGGCCCACAGTACTTTTAGGACCCATGAAAATGTTTTACTTTCTGTTAAAATTAGGAGAAAGAAAGAAATTTTATCACAAATATGTGGAGATTAAACAATATGCTACGGAACAACCAGTAGGTCAAAGAAGAAAGCAAAAGAGAAATCCAAAAATACCTTGAGGCAAACATAAATGGAAATATACCAAAGTTTGTGGGATGCAGTAAAAGCAGTTCTAAGAGGGAAGTTCATAGTGATAAATGCCTGTCTCAAACAACCTAAATTTACACCTCGAGCAACTAGAAGAAGAACATATGAAGCCCAAAGTTCATAGAAGGAAGGAAATAACAAGGATTAAAGCAGAAATAAATGAAATAGAGACTAAAAAGGCAAGAGAGAAGATCAATGAAACTAAGAGCTGGTTCTTTGAAAAGAAAAAACAAAATTGGCAAGCCTTTAGATAGATTCAGCAAGAAAAAAGGAGAGGACTCAAAGAAATATAATCAGAAATGAAAGAGGAAATGTTACAACTGATATCACAGAAATACAAAGGATCATAAGAGAATACTATGAACAATTACACGCCAACAAATCTGACATATGAGAAGAAATGGATAAATTCCTGGAAATATACAATCTACTAAGACTCAATCATGAGGAAATAGAAAATCTGAACAGGCCAGTTACTATTAAGGAAATTGAATCAGTAATCAAAAATCTGCCAACAAACAAAAGTCCAGGACCAGATGGCTTCCTGGGTGAATTCTACCAAACATTGAAAGAATTAGCACCAATCCTTCTCAAACTCTTCCAAAAAACAGAAAAGGAGGTAACTCCTTTAAACTCATTTTATGAAGCCAGCATTACCCTGATACCAAAACCAGACAAGGTCACAACAAGAAAAGAAAATTACAGGCCAATATCCCTGATTAACATAGACGCAAAAATCCCCAATATTAGCAAAGTAAATTCAACAATCCATGAAAAGGATCATACAGCATGATCAAGTGGGATTTATTCCAGGGATGCAGGGATGGTTCAACATCCACAAATCAATCAATGTGATGCACCACATTAATGAAATGAAGGAGAAGAATCATATGGTTATCTCAGTAGATGCAGAAGAAGCTTGTGAGAAAATTCACATCCATTTATGATAAAAACTCTCAACAAAGTGGGTAGAGAAGGAATGTACCTCAACATAATAAAGGTCATATATGACAAGCCCACAGCTAACAGTATACTCAGTGGGGAAAAGTTGAAAGTTTTCCTCTAAGATCAGGAACAAGACAAGGATGCCCCCCTCACCACTTTTATTCAACACAGTATTGGATGTCCTAGCCAGAGCAATCAGGCAAGAAAAAGAAATAAAATGCATCCAAATTGGAAAGGAAGAAGTAAAACTCTCACTATTTGCAGATGGCATGGTATTCTACATAGAAAACCCTAAGGACACCATCAAAAAAACTGTTAGAACTAATAAATGAATTCAGTAAAGTTGCAGGATACAAAATCAACACACAAAAATCTATTGCATTCCTGTTCACTAATAATGAACTATCAAGAAAGAGAAATTAAGAAAATAATCCCGTTTACAATGACATCAAAAAGAATAAAATATTTCAGAATAAATTTAACCAAGGAGGTGAAAGCCCTGTATGTTGAAATCTACAAGACATTAGTGAAAGAATTGAAGAAGATACAAATAAATGGAAAGAGATCCCGTGCTCATGGATTAGAAGAATCAATACTGTTCAAATGTCCCTACGACCCAAAACAGCCTACAGATTCAGTGCAATCCCAATCAAAATCCAATGGCATTTTTCACAGAACTAGAACAAACAATCCTAAATCTTGTATGGAACCACAAGAGACTCTGAATAGCCAAAGCAATCATGAGAAGGAAGAACAAAGCTGGAGGCATCATGCTCCCAGATTTTAAATTATATTACAAAGCTATCGTAATTAAAACAGTATGGGTGCCATAGAAACAGACATATAGATCAGTGGAACAGAACTGAGAGCCCAGAAATAAACCCACACATGGACAGTCAATTAATTTACAAGAAGGAGCCAAGAATATTCAATGGGGAGAGAACAGTCTCTTCAATAAATGGTGTTGGGAAAACTGGACAGCCACATGCCCAGGAGTGAAACTGGACCACTGTCTTACACCATATCCAAAACTTAACTCAAAATGGATTAAAGTCTTGAACACAAGACCTGCAACCACACAACTCCTAGAAGAAAACATGGGCGGTAGCTCCTTGACGTGGATCTTAGCGATGATTTTTTGGCTCTGATTCCAAAAGCAAAGGCAACAAAAGCAAAAATCAACAAGTGGGACTACATCAAACTAAACAGCTTCTGCCCAGCAAAGGAAACCATCAACAAAATGAAAAGGCAGCCTACAGAATGAGAGAAAATATTTGCAAATTATATATCTGATAAAGGGTGAATATCCAAAACATGTAAAGAACTCATACAACTCAATAGCAAAGAAAACAATCAGGTTAAAAAATGGGTACAAGATCTGAATAATTTTTCCAAAGAAGCCATAAAGATGGGTAACGGGTACATGAAAAGACGTTCAACATCACTAATCCTCGGGGAAACGCAAATCCAAACCACAAGGAGACATCACCGTGCACCGGATCGAATGGCTTATTATCAAAAAGACAAGTGATGAATGTTGGAGAGGCTGTGGAGAAAAGGGAACCCTCATGCACTGTTGGTGGGGATGCAAACTGGTGCAGCCACTGTGGAAAACACTATGGAGGCCCCTCAAAAGATCAAAAATAGAACTATCACATGACCCAGCAATTTCACTCCTGAAGCTTTATCTCAAGAAAATGAAAACACCGACTTGAAAAGGTATGTGCAGCCCCCTGTGCACTGCAGCTTTATTTACAATAAGCAAGGCCTGGAAACAACCTAAGTGTCTATGAATGGATGAATGGATAAAGAAGTTGTGATGTATATATACATATACATACAATGGAATATTATTCAGCCATAAAAAAGAATGAAATCTTGCCATTTGCAACAACAAGGATGGACCATGAGGGCATTATGCTAAATGAAATGTCAGACAGAGAAAGACAAATACCACATGATCTCTCTTACATGTGGAAACTAAAAAAAGCAAAAGCAAGCTCATAGATGCAGAGAACAGATTAGCGGTTGCCAGAGGCAAGGGATGGGGGGGAGAGAAACGGATAAAAATGCTTTATAATTTAAACAAAAAAAAGTAAAGGGAATTTGTGTGCTCCAGTGATCAGATTAAAGGGAAATCTTTTCTGAAATTTATTTAACTATACACATGGCTATAAAAACCAAAATTTTTTTAAAAAGAAATTTTAGGTCAAAGAAAATGTTTTAATATATAATATTAATATATCCATCTTTATACCAACACAATCGTAAAATATAGCTTTTAATATTCCTTTAAGAAGGAAGGGGCCACCGAGGGTAAAGGTGTCTAGGTCATATGAAAGTCATAATGTGGTCCTGAAGCTGCTCTTGAATTCCTGAACCACAGGAACTTTGAGATAATAAGTATTTGCTATTTCAAGCTACTAAATTTAGGGGTAATTTGTTACACGGCGAGAGAGCACTTATACACTGACCTCGTGAAGATTTGGGACAGGGCACTGCAGACACAGAAGAAGTAGGGAGCCCTTAGTCCCAGTAGGGAGGGTCCCAGGCTGAGCTGAGCCACGGAGCACGAGCAGACCCTGCTCGCTTTTTCTCCTTCACCGTCTCCAGAAGTCAATGCTCTTTCCCAGGTACCAGCCCCGGCTTTACCGCAGGCCCATTTCCCAGGGACTTCTCAGTGAAGACAGAGGCCGAACCACAAGGTGAGTTAAGACCCGGCACTCTGGAGGCAGATAGATGAGCCAAACCCCAGCTTCGCTGCTGTGTGCCTCTGAGCAGATGACTTAACCTCTCTGGGCTTCAGTGTCCTTGCTCTTTCCCTCCATCTCTTTCCCTCTCTGTTTCAGACACTGCATCTTGGGCCCTTTCTGTCAGGCACAGTGCTCTCCTGTCTCTAGTTCACCTCGCCTCAGCCGCGGCCCTCCCCCTGCCCCAAACTCCTTGGAGTCCCATTAATTTTGAGAGGCTGTCTGTGCGGATTGCCGCCTGGCCCAGTCCTGGGGGTCGGAGAGCTGTGTGATCATCCACCTGGAGCCGAGGGGAAGTAGTAACCAGTTCTCCCTGCCTCGTTCTTTACCGCCTCACTCTCATCCATTTCGCTCAAACATCCCCAGGGAAGCCGATTATGGAGGGACCCACCGGGGGAGCAGGGCTGGGGGTCCTGGTTACCTGGGAGAAGGTCAGAGAAAGCGAGCGGGAGTCATTCCTCCAACCTCCACCAAACACTGGGGCCCTGACACCCGAGGCCTGGGCCCCGTGTCTGTACTGGACGCCACAGCTTAATCTCTGGACCATCGTCTCCAGCCAGGAGCTCTCCTGGGCTCCAGCCTCGTTCAGCCAGCTCTTCCCGGGACATCTGCCCGTGTACGTCCCACGGGCCCTTGAACCCACCACCTCCAAACCTGGACACACCAACTCCCCTACCAAGCCTGCTTCCCCCATCGCTACCTTCCTCCTCCTCCCGCCACCCGTCCTGATCTCCTGAAGCACCAGCCACCCAGGCTCTCAGCAAGGCACCTGACATCATTCTCGCCCCACTCCCCTCGGCTAATCTGCCACAACCATCTATTTCTCTGTTTACCTCGGACCACCAGGACCAGCTTAAGTTACCTGGGAGCAGACCCCTTCCCCGGGACAGTCTGTGGTCCCTTCAAACTCGCAACGCCCCCGTCTGACCATGTCATCTTCCCGCCCATCTCCCTGCCTCTATCTGTGGCACCCCACTTCCCAATTACTGATGCAAATCCTACACCTCCCCCTTCTCCCCCTACACACAGCCAACCAACCTGGTCTGAGGCAGGGGAATGGACTTCCGGGTTGGGAAGAACCGAGCTACCATCCCAGCTCCATCATTCTCTAACTGTCTGACCTGGAGCACATCACTTCACCTCTGACCCTCAGTTTTACCATCTATAAAATGGGACCAAGGGTCCCCACTTGCAGGGCTGTTGGGAAGATCGGTTGAGAACGTCCAGAATTACAACCTCAAATGACTTCAGGGCCAGGCAAGCACCACGCACGAGTGAAGAGGCCTGGGGGCGCCCGTGGCAAACTGGAGCCGGGCTGCCCCATCAAAACGGGCAGCTGTTTATCACTCCAGCTGTTGATGCCAGGGGGATTATGAGCCCCGTGTTGCCAGAACTTCCAATTTTTCAAGAGCAGCCCCCTAGCATGTTTTCATGTGGAATCTCCAGATTTGTAAATGTTGGCAATTAATTGAAATGCTTCTTTAGCACCATGAGGGCCAAACAAAACATTTGCCTCCAGGTCGCCAGTTTGTGCTCTCTGATGTATGCAAGGAGTTGGGTCCGGTGCACGTTCCTAACAGAGTCGATAAACATTAATTCCCTTCTCCGCCCTTCTTATTGATTCTCTCAAAAAAAAAGTCTCTCCAAGCCATTCCTCTCAATCTACCCCCATCATCGTCACCTTCCTGCAGCCCCCAGTGGCCAGCAGCCACCAGGTGCTGTCCATTCACAGACCTCACCCAAGATGCCCTGCCCTCTGACTGGACAGAGGGAGCTCTTTGCTTGGATCTGACACTTCCCAGCTGGCAAGGCTCTCTCCCTTTCATTTTCTCACTTATCTTTCCAACAGCCTATACGGTAGTTACTATTGACCCCAACCCACCAGTGAGGGAAGTGAGGTCCAGAGGGCGTAAGTCAGTCAACAGATACTTATTAAACACCTACTATGCACCAGGCTCTGTTGAATGGCAAACCCAAGGTCACACAGGGTATTCGTGGGTGCAAGTGACAGAAATCTAAATTCCACAGGCTCAGGCAAAGGGACGATGCAGTGGCTTACGTGCAGGCAGGAAGGAAAACAATGTCACTGGGTCCCAAAGATAAACGGAGCCATGGACACAAATGTCTTCCAAGCACTCGCTTGGTCCTCTCTTGTTTAGGCTCCCCTTTCTGTCCCAGAATTGTCATCTCATCCAGCAGGACAGCATTTCGCAACAGCAGGCCACCAGCAGGTCCAGAGTCCCGCCGTGTTTACGTTTGGACGGACACACTCCCTGTCCCATGTTCAAGTCCCAAGGAAGGACCCTTAGTAGGTCAGTGCGGGTGACGCTGTCACCTTGGGCCAATCGACTGAGCAAGGTAAGAATGGCCGGTTAGCTCAGTTTGGGGCCAGTCCCACCCCGGGGCCAATGCACAGTCCACAAGGGAGCCAGCTCTGTGAGACGCGGCTGGTGAGAGTAAGGCGGCGAGAATTCCGCGGGAAACGAGCTTGCTGTCTGCTCACACGAGAGATGCCTTAGGTTGCTCCCAAACACCTAGCCTGGGACAGGATTTGCATGCAAGTTGTTTATTTGGGAGGTGACCCCGGAATCTCCCAGCACGGGAATGGGAAGTGAGGCAGAGAAGGGAAGGAAGCGGATGAAGCATGTGTAATTGAGTGTGTTACCTCCGTGGGCAGCTGAGCTTCATCCTGCTGGGGAGTCTGGGAAACAGAAGGATGTGGGCTTGACGATGATCTCTACTGAAGGGTGAGGAGGCTGGAGGGTTTGTCCCCTAACCTCCTTCCCTCATTGGTTGAGGCCTGCTCCCAGGGAGGCATCAATTCACTGGTACTTTCAACCTACCCCATGCGCAGGCAGAGGCCCCAGAAGCGCAGAGAGCCCAGGCAGAGTGGCAGGTGCCGGCCATTGGACATTGGGCCTGCCTACCGTACATCACCATGCTTTACCGAGGTCCTCTCAGTCACCAGAATGGAGCAGGCCGAGGACACACGGGCTGAGTGCTGACAGCATCGACTGCGTGTGCTGACCACCTGATGGAACAAGGTTTCAAAGCCAGATCTGTCTGATCGTTTTCACTAAGCCATGTGGTCTCCACCCTAGACCAGGACTGAGCAGAGGTTCTGAGCATCCAGGGCAAGGCCCAAAGGGAGGTCCCTGGTCCTGGAATGCCAGCAGGGGGAATGCAGTGGCCTGTGGCCAAAGCTACAAGAACGGCACTTCAGCCTCTCAATCCTGTGAAAAGGGGCCCCACGGGGACCTCTGCTGCCCCCAGACAGCAGGGCACTAGGTGACTGGGACCATCGATTCTGCCTGACTGTGGGCCTGGCTGGAGGGATGAGGAGGCAGGAAAGCGTGAGGCCCCCCGTCTCGAGGATGGTAGGTCTTACTGCTGCCACAACCCGAGCCACCCAGAAAGAGAGGAGAGAGACCCAGGGGTGAAGCCAGCTCCGGCCCCTCAGGCTGAGCTCGGGAGCACAGAGAGAACTGGCAGAACTGGTGGGGTGGGACTAGGGGACCCAGAAAAGAAGTAGGTCATAGAGGAAGAACCTATGAGTAGCCACCTGGGGCCCCAGGGAACTAAAACAGGAATGTCCACCCTGCCAATCAGAGAGCAGCAGCCTGCAGAGCGGGGAAGCAAATGAGGGGCAGTGGGCACCCCAACCGTGGCACAGATGCTTTCCCCAGATCCTCCCCCATCACCCCCACGACAACTCTGTCACCCCCGTCCTACAGAAAGGAAACTAAGGCTCCGAAAGGAGAAGCGATTCGACCAAGGCCACATGGCTAGGGAGTAGGAGCGGGGTTTGAACCCCCACCTGTGTGGGTTCTGTCTGCCGCACGGCTCTCCGCCCTTCCCAGCGCTGCCTCTTCTCTGCCGGGCCTGCCTCCCACCCTCCCGACCCCACCTCCTTCCTAGACTCCTGCCATCCCACGGCTCCCCTCCTTTTGCAAAAGGAACAGTCCGCGAAGTCTCACCGGGGGATGGGAACTCGAAACTCTTCGTTTCCAGGAGCAAAGCTTCCTTCTCCCCGGAAGGAGCAGGCTTCCCAGCTAAAGTGGCCAAGGCCTCACTAAAACACAGATGAGCAGCCAAGGAAGCTCTCCCAGGGGCTGGGCCCCGCTCTCCCCCCAGGACCTACGGGACCGGGTCTCCCCCACGCCCCTCTGGGTCATAAGCGACTAGAGTGCAGGAACCAGATCTGCAGCATCCGTGGATCCTTCCTGTGATGGTGAAAGATTGGGCTGCTCAGGCCCACAGGCCATTCACCTCTCCCCCGTTTCCCCTAGCAGAGCCAAGACAGGCTCTCCCAAAGACTGTCACCAAATACCGAGGGTAAGAAACCACAAAGCAGCATCAACTCAGCCTCACCGCCAGAAATTGGTCCTAGCTGAGAATAACAGCAGCTAGCATGCATTAGGTGTTTAGTATGGGCCAGGCTTCCGTGTTTTATATCTTTTTATTCATCTAACCTTCACAATAATGCTATGAGGAAGGTACTATAGTGGTCTCCACATTCCAGATGAAGAAACCGAGGCACAGACAAGCTAAGAAACTTGCTCAGGGTTGCACAACCAGTAAGTAGGAGAGCTGGGACTGGAATTCAGTGAGCACAGCTCCAGAGCCCGTGCTCTTGAAACAATATTGCTTCAACACCTTCGTGCCCAAGGATTGGCAAGGCTTTTGGCTCCTTTACTCTTGATAGACAGAATCATTCATTCAGCATCAATCACTCATTAGGCACCTACTGTATGCCAGGCACTGTGCCAGATGGTGGAGATGGAGCAGCGAGCATGATTCCCAGGGGCCTGGTCCCCTTGATGACTCCAGTCTAAAGGAGGAGAGGACATTAAACACACCAGCACACCCGTAACTCTACGAATGCAGTCATGATAGGGTTACAACGAAGAAGCACATGCCGAGAGAATACATAACAAAGAAGCTAAGAAGCTGACCTATTTCAGCGGTCAAGGAAGGCTTTTCTGAGAGTTACATTTAAATGGAGTTCTGGAACTTGAGTTGATGCTAGCTCAGAAAAAATGAGGAAAGAACATTAAGGCATGTGCAAAGGCCCTGAGGTAGGAAAGAGATTCCTCTGTTTTAGAAAGTGAAAGAAGGTCACTGCAGCTGGAGCACAAAGATGGAAGGGAAGAGGCTGAGAACAAAGGGTGGCAGAAGTGGGATCGTGCAGGACTTTATAGACCATATTAGCAATGGGAGATTTTATTTCAAAACAATGGGGAGCCATTAAAAGGCCTTGAGCAGATTTTTTTAAAATATGATTTGCATTTTCCAAAGATGACTGCTGTGTGTGGACCACTAATTGGAGAGGGGCAAAGTGAACAGGGAGTTGTTACATGTATGATGCGTGTAGAGCATTTGGCCTAGTTTCTGGCACAGATGAGGCGCTCAATAATAAAGCTGACGTGATTATTACCCCCTTTTCCAGCTTTTCCTCCTCTCCTGAGTCATGTGGCTGGGCGCCACCTTGGCCCCACAGGCCAACCTATCTTGCTCCCCCAGAACCAAAAGCTCACTCTCCTTTGAGAACAGTAGGTGTGATGGTTAACTGGTGGGGTATCAGGCCACATAGCTGTCCTGCCCTCTGTCTGCTACATTCAGAAGGGAGCCTGGGGGGGTGGCTGCTCTCCAGAAGAGAGTCCCCTCCCACCCACTCCACACCCATGGACCGGGGAACCCAGCAGAGCTGGCCCGGCGGGGAGGCCAGGACCATCTAGGAAGCTGAGGCTGAGTAGGGGTCAGTCTGAGCCAGAAGAACACGTCAACCGTGATGGGAAGAGTCAGGAATGCCTGGCTAAGGGTTGGGGGACACAGAGAGCCAAGCAAGGCCAGAGCACCAGGGAAAGCAGTAGGGAGGGGAAAGGATGCCGGGTGTAGAGTGAAACGGCTCTGCAGAGGCTCCTCCCTGCCATCCGCGTGTCTGTTCCCATCTTCCCGGAAGAAGCAAACTCTTCTTCAGCCCTCATCCCTCTGCCTACCGCCCTCTGCCCTCCCTTCCTCCCTCCCTCTCAGGCTTCCTGAAAAGGCGCGATCTGTACTTCCTCCGCCCTCTGCCCTCTAGCTTCTGGCCCCACCGCACTGCTGAAATTACTCTGGCGAAAGTCACCAGGGACCCACTGGGCCTCTCCGCAGGGGACTCTCCTGGATGCTCTTTCACGACATTCTCCCCTCACCTGCCTGCCCCGGTCTCTCTGTCCCTCGCTGTTCTTTCTCCTCCACGGGCAGCTCTGTCTTGCCTGCTTCCTAAAATGTTGGGGCTCTGCCTGGAGCCTCCTCTCTTCTCACTCAGCGCGCTCTCCCCAGGGCCCCCGTCCAGTCCAGTGGATCCCACCCCCTCGGGGCTGAGGACTCCCAAAGTATGTCTGTCTCTGGCCATTGCTGCCAACTGCTGGCTGTCCTCCACACCATCCCATTCGGCACATGGAACACTGGACCCACTAACTCCCAAACATCCGGGAAGAACCTATACATTGCCTTCCCCTCTCTCCCAAAGAGCCTGCATTTCCTCCTGCATCCTTACTTCTACCAGTAGACCCACCACCTGCCAAATCACCAAAACTAGCAACCTGGGAACCATCCTCCTACCTCCCCTGCCGCATCCAGTCAGACCCCAAATGCTGCCGCTTGTACTTCCCAGCTGTGCACAGATCCATCCCATCTGGCTCCTCTCTTGCCTAAGTCATTGCAATGACTCTTTTACTGGTCTTGCACGCCTCTCCTCTCAAACAGAATGGAGGGAGCTTTCTAAACATACATCTGATCCTCATTATTCACGGATTCCATATTTGTGAGTTCGTCTACTCGCCAAAATTTATTTGTTGAACCCCGAAATCATTTCACAGTCATTTGTAGATGTGCACAGAGCAGAGAAATCTCTGAGCCGCCTGGCGTGCGTGTTCCTGGCTAAGGTTAAACAAGGGGACACTCCGCCTTCTTTTTTCAGCTCCAACACTGAAAAAACAATTCAAACAAATTTGTTTCAAACAAATGAACAAATGTCCTGTTTGAGGTCAATTTATTGCCACTTTTTTGCATTTTTTGCGGGTTTGGAAGGTGATTTTGCTGTTTCACTTGGCCCCCAGGGGTGGCACTGAAGCGGGAGCAATAGGGAAACTGCCCAGACCTAAAAGTGGCAAAGATGAGACTCAAATCCAGGGGCATGAGATGCCAGGTGGGTGCGGGGTGTGGGCCCAGATGCAAGGGGTGAGGGACTCCAGATGCAGGGGTGTGTGGGCTCCAGATGTAGGGATGTTTGGGCTTCAGACACAAGGGTGTGGGCCCAGACACAGGGATGTGGAGACCAGATGCAGGGGTATGGGCTCCAGACGCAGGGATGTGTGGGTTCCAGGTGTTGAGGTGTATGGGCTCCAGATGTAGGGGTGTTTGGGCTTCAGATGCACGGGTGTGGGCCCAGATACAGAGATGTATCTGGGGCCCAGACGCAGGGGTGTGGACCCAGATTCCCAGAAGGCTCCGGATGCAGAGATGTGGAGGCCCAGAGGCAAGGGTATCGGGCCCAGATGCGGGAGAGTGAGGCCCAGATGCAGGGGTGTGAGATTCAGAGGGCTACAGATGCAGAGATGTGGAGGCCAAGATGCAGGGGTGTGAGGCTCAGATGCAGGGGTATGGGGTCCAAGGGCAGGGGTGGAGGGCCCAGATGCAGGGGCATGAGGCCCCGATCCAGGACTGTGGGCCCAGATTCAGAGGTATGGGCTCCAGATGCAGGGTGTGGGGCTCAGGTGCAGGGGTGTGGGGTCCAGGTGCAGGGGTGTGGGGCCCAGATGGAAGGTTCCGTACCTTAGGGCACTTCCCTGAAATGCCTCCCTCATCAATCAGGGAGGCACATGCTCTGGACAGGGCTTGCCCAGTCCCAGCCCCTTCCCGCTAGAGCTCACCCCAAGGTAATTCTTATGTCAGTGTGACTCTGGGCCCCATCTGCGTGCTTGTCCGGGTGGGGAGACCCTGCCCCGCTCCTCTGATCCTCTCTTTGTCCGTGTAGCCCAGCACAAACACAGCACCTGGCACGCAGCAGTGTCTCAGCCGTGATTCTTGAATTTAAAACAAGGGTCGTGGAAAGGCCCGTGCATGAGGTCTTGAGGTGTTGGGGTTGGGGGGAGGCAGTCATCCGTGCAGGGGGCGCAGTGGTTGGGGAGGGGCTCATGTGGGAGTTTGGGGAGTCGGGGGCTGTGCATGCAGCAGAAAGGATGGCTCTCCGTGCAACCCCCCATGCATTCGGTATTGGGCTGCAAAGACTGAAATAGATTCCGGTAGCAATAGGATGGTGGGGAAATGGGGAGGCTGGACCCAGAAACCTGGTCCATGGCCTCTTTGCAGTCATGAGAGCCTGTGCAGCTGGTACTAGACTTATCAGCTGGTAATCAAGGCCAAGTTGGTGAGTTCCTGGGGTCGGGGGCTGGTCCACTTTATATCATAACAAGTCTCTAAAAATGTCTGTTGGTGTGGACTGATTTGTTCATTCAACAAACGGGTCCTACTTGGAACAAGCTCAGTTAAGATCGAATTTCCCCATACAGTCTGACGATGATGTGGAAGCTTGGCGCCATGGAAGCCCAGAGAGGGGGGCCCTGAGCCACCTGGATCAGTGCAGGCAAAAGGTGAGGGAAGGGCATCCAGGTGGGGGCAATTGATGGGGCAAAAGCATTTGGGCTGGAGATCAAGTTTGCTAGTCAAGGCATTTCCAAAGGCGACTAAAGCCGTGAGAACAGAAGGCCATTGAGGACCTGCGAGAGAGGAGAGTCTGAGAGCAGCTCGCAGAGGCCCAGGAAGTAGCAGTAGGGAATCTCCTGAGAAGGATGAGGAGGCAGGACAGGCCGCAGCTCCTCCCACCCCAGCCCAGGGATGGGGAGACAAGCAGGGGTCAGAGTGGACCTGTTGTTCTCCCCTGAGAGGATGCCAGGATTCTGGGCTCAGCATCCTCGGAGATGTGGACCCCTAAGTTTCCCGGGCCTCATCAGAGGCAGTCTGGGGAGGCTGGGGCCCAGCCAATGGTAGTGCCTGGCACAGCTCCTCCTCCTCCTAGGCCGGTGGCACACCCAGGCTGCCTGCCGACTCCACGGCCTCCGTCCCAGGAAGAGGCTTCCCCAGACACGCTCCCTGGTTCTGGTATGAGTTCTGGCTGCCTGCTGAGGCTAACTGCTGGTACCCGGAGGGCCCTGAGAAGCAGCCACTCAGGTAAGGTCATCTGTGTCCAGATGTGCCCTGCCCCTCGGCATACCTGGCGGAGGGAGCCTTCTGTGGTGGAGAGTCAGGAGAGGTGGCCCAGCTTCGTCCGCCACCCTGGGCCCCTATGTGGAGGAGTGAAGGGCTCCTTCCTCCTCTGCTCTGAGCTCTTCCTGCTCTCTGCAGCGAGCAGCGGTGGGAGCCAGGGACTGAGTGGGAGAGGGGCTCACGGGGGACCAGGAACTGAGCAGGCAGAGCAGCTCTGCCTGGGCATGCAAAGCCCCGCCCTGCCCCACCCCAAGTGGGCCGGACCAAGATCCCCTCGGGACTAGGAGCCGGAGCTTCCCCAGTGTTCCCTGAGAAGCTGCCAAGATTCCGCCCACCTTCGGCAGGACTGAGCAAAGACAAGCTGATGATTCAGAGGAGGAGCCCCAGGTCCAAGTGGTAGGTGGTGTAGACGGGTCAGTGGCCAGACAGCGTAAGGAGCAGAGACAGCCCCAGCCTCCCTCCCCCGGGATCCGCCAGGTACAGGAGGAAGTGGGCACAGAGCAGACAGGCAGGCAGCTTCCCGGAGCTTAAGGAAAGGGGCACAGGCCCAGAGTGTGGGCTCTGGAACCAGCCTGCCTGGGTTCAAATCCCAGCTCTGCCACTTACTAGCTGTGTGACTGTGAGCAAATTAATTAACACCTCTGTGCTCCACTTTCCTCATCTGCAAATTGGGAATAAAAAATATCATACCCCTTCATACAGTGGCCGTGTTGTTTCCTGCCAAGTGCTCAGATCAGGGTGCTGCAGAAACACGCGATAAACGCTGGCTCTTCTCAAAACCCTGCTCATCTGCCGCAGATCACGCAGAGGGTCGAGACAGCGTGGTGACCTGAACCTGGACTGCACTTGGAAGGGCATCAGGAACCCGTTCTAGCAAAAGGCTGTGTAGATAGACATCCTGGCATCCCGGGGGCCCCGCGGGGTGAGACCGTGGTGTGTGGCTCTCAGCGGACCCCCCAGGAAACAGGCAGAGGGATTCCAAGCGAGGAAGAGGGCATCCGTCACTCTGAACAGTAGTCACATTCCTTAAACGGAGGTAAATCTGATTCCTGTGTCTTCATCACACCAAACTCGCCAGCAGAATTTGACCAGAGCAGCATTTCCCATTTTGGTGTCTTGACAGGACCATTCCACAAGATGATAAAAAACGGTTCTGTGGTCAAAGGAGTTCGGGCAATGCTACATATTCTGTCCCCCTTTAGAGTTTCATAATGTGAATTTATCAGCATGGTCAAGTAAAGGGACCTATTCAACACTGCTGAGCACGGTGTCAACCCACCTTTCTGAACCCAGAATCCTTTGCTCTCACTGTTTCCATCGTCAGCCTTTGAACAGGGTTCCATGGAGGGCCAGTTTGGGAAACACTGGAATGGCAGGTTGCTCTAAGAGCCTGTTGTGGAAAGAGAACCATTGCTCTGGACCTTATCTTTCAGCGGGATTGCCATTGGCCTTCCTGAGTGGGACACTGCCTGGGTATTCGTGGAATATTAGACCAGGTGGGAGTTGGGGGACAAGATTCCAGCCTCCTCTGGAGCTCCATCCCCCAAGCCAAGGACAGAGCAAAGGACGAGTTCCCCTTGGGAGGGGGCTGTGTAAGGGGAGAGAGCAGTGCTCAGAAAGGAAAGAAGTCGCCCCAAGGCTCAGTCCCCTGAGGAGGAGGACCAGGGTGGGAACAGAGGAGAGAGCGGTAAGTCCCACCTCCTTAAGCCTTCACTCTGCAAGACCAGGGCCACAGGCCCCGGGGGCATAGGTGGCTCCCCAGACCCACTTCACCCACTTTTATGGGTGAGAGTTGGGTCTGGACTTAATTACCTCTGCTCAGATCCCAGCTCCGCACCTAACAGTGTGTAACCCTGTATAACCCCGCCAAACCTCAGTTGCCTTCATCTGTAAGATGGGGACAATAACAGAACCTAGCTCATCTGTGGCTGTAAGGATTAAACACAATGACATATTTCTGTAAAATGCTCAGACTGCGTATTCTATAAATGTGGCAAATTATTATTATCATTTCCCTGCAGTAGCAGCCGACACCTGGGTCCACTATGAACTGGGGGAGCTTCGAGGGGCTCCTCAGCGGGGTCAACAAGTACTCCACAGCCTTTGGGCGCATCTGGCTGTCTCTGGTCTTCATCTTCCGTGTGCTGGTGTACCTGGTGACGGCTGAGCATGTGTGGAGTGACGACCACAAGGATTTCGACTGCAACACCCGCCAGCCGGGCTGTTCCAACGTCTGCTTCGATGAGTTCTTCCCCGTGTCCCATGTGCGCCTGTGGGCCCTGCAGCTCATCCTGGTCACGTGCCCCTCGCTGCTCGTGGTCATGCACGTGGCTTACCGTGAGGCTCGGGAGAAGAAGCACCGAGAGGCAGTGGGGCAGGATGGGGGGCGACTCTACCTGAACCCCGGCAAGAAGCAGGGTGGGCTCTGGTGGACGTACGTCTGCAGCCTGGTGTTCAAGGCCAGTGTGGATGCCACCTTCCTCTACGTGTTCCACTCGTTCTACCCCAAATACACCCTCCCTCCCGTGGTCAAGTGCCACGCAGCTCCGTGTCCCAATTCGGTGGACTGCTTCATCTCCAAGCCCTCGGAGAAGAACATCTTCACGCTGTTCATGATCATCACGGCCGCCATCTGCATCCTGCTCAACCTCGTGGAGCTGGCCTACCTGGTGAGCAAGAGGTGCCGAGAGTGCCTGGCAGCGAGGAAAACCCAGGGCGCAGGCGTGGGCCATCGCCAGGACTGTGCCACCTCTTTCCGCAAACAGGACGACCTCCTCTCAGACGACCTCATCTTTCTGGGCTCAGAGGCTCACCCTCCTCTTTTACCCAACCGCCCTCGAGGCCACGTGAAGAAAACCATCCTGTGAGGGGCGGCCTGCTCAGGCCTGGGTTGGAAGTTCCCAGCATCTCCCATAGGTGCAGCACTGGGGCAAGGGAGCAGAGCCAAAAGTGGGGGCGGGCAAGAGGGAGCATCAGAGGCCCGGGATCCAGTCCCTCTTCCACAGCCCCTGCCACCTGTCCCAGCTGTGTGGCCTTGGGAAACTGACCTCTCTGCTCTCCACCTCAGTTTCCTTCACAGGGCTGTTGCTGTCGCGGGGGAGGGTTGATAAGAGGATGGATGTGCATGTGCCTTCAGTGTGTGGGGCCCACAGTCAGGGCTTAATAAAATTCAACTCATCCACTGATTCCAGGTGCCCTTTGGTCCTTCGGCCGTGTGACCCTTATCTGGTCATTGAGTCAACTTCTCTGCCCCTGCAAAACCCTGCAGGTGAGGGGCCATTCTTTCTCCCAGGAAAGGGTCCCCAGCACTCCCAGGGGTCAAGCTTGCTCACGCTCAAGTCTAGCTTTTACCCCGAGTTGCAATTTTGTCTGTGAGGAGAATGGAGCTCAGTACGTGGGGAGCTGCATGTTGCAGCAGAAACTTCACGGACTTTGGAGTCGGACACTTGCCCTCGAACCCCAGTTCCGCCGGGACTCTGGGAAAGTGACCCCGGCTCCTCTCCAAAATGGGTTAATAATCCCTTGCCTGTGGGGTTGTTGTGAGGCCTGGATGAGCTCACGGCTGTGGATGGGATTAGCCGGCTGTAAAAGGCCACATAAATGGTAATCACTGGCATTAGGAAGTGCTCCATAAATGCTCGTGGGAAATGAGGCAGAGGAACCCCTCCCTGGCTGCACAGCAACGTTCGCTGTCCCAGCCTCCGGGATGCAGGTGCAAGGCCCCTCTGCAGCCCCCACTGCGTCACGCTCCAACTTCCTCGGAGGCTGTCCCCATAGAGCACGGACAGTAAGGCTGTTCCTGGCCCCATGCCAACTGGGGAAATTCATGTTGCTGATCTGCATTCCTTGTCTCCACCAGGGCAGTGAGTGTCCTTATGCAGAAGAACCACAGCCAGCCCCTCCCTTCCACTACATAACTCACCAGCAACCCAAGTTCTGGTCCCCAGAAATGTCCCCACCAGGGTAGGATGCGATCCTGGGCTGAATCAAGGGTGCCCCATTTCATAGATGTCAGCTGCGGAGGACCTCAGAACCAGGCTTCCAGAGCAAAGGACAGGAGAGAGGCCTGGGGTTGGCAGAAGGTAGGAATAAGGCAACGAGAAGGAGGTAGGGTGATGCCGCTGGTGCTGACCTAGGCCCGGGCATGAGGATACCAGGCACCCACCCCCCCTTCACTGCAGTCTCACCCACATACCTGCCAGCCCAGGGAGCCAGACCCAGCCTTGCCCTGCCAGGCTGGAGAGAAGGCGTGGGCCAGGAGAGAGCCGCAGGTGTTTACTCTGAATATGTGCCTGGAGAAGTCCGCCTGCCCGCCTGCCCACCCACCGGCTCACTCTCCCTGGGCTTATTGGCTTAGAAAGCCCCACCCAGCAGGGGTGTGAGAAACAAAAGCTGCCTCCAGGAGGTCCTCAGGCAGACGAACAAGCCCAGGGACAGGAGAGTGGCTACTAGACCCAAGAAAGGTGAGGACCAAGTCGGAGGAGACTGGGCTGGGAAGCAGGGACCAGATGAGCTGAGGATCCCCAGGGGACCTCAGGCTGTGGGCGGGGCTTCAGGGAGGAACAGAGGAGACAGAGGATCCCTGGAGAAACCCCAGGGAAGCCCCCAGGAGGGGAAGGAATGTCCTGCCAGACCCAAGGGAGGATGGAGGACCAGAGAAGAGGCAGGAAGAAGGATGAAGACCTGGGCTTCCAATTCAGTTTAGCAGGGTCTTGGGAAGCAGACGCATGAGATGTAGAGGCTGCTCTCCAGACAAGTAAACAGACCATTTCAGTCCTGGTGATCCAGCCTGCCACCAAAGATGAGGAGGCTGCTCAGAAAATGTCCCTAGGGCACCAGGTGAGAGGAGAGGGGCTGAGTTGGAGATGGAATGTGATGGCACTCCAGATAAGGTGGTGTGGAGGATGGAGCACACAGGACAGGGGCCTGCATGGAAATAATGGGAGTCGCGGCTAGCAAATAGCCTCTGAGATGACAGACAAGGGAGGTGCCCTTAAGAAAGAAAATAAATGCTGGGGGGAGGACCCTGCCAGAATCCTACCTGTGTCCCTTCCCCGGTCCCTCCCTATAGCTGGAATGGTTGGAATTCCAGAGGAACCCACAGTGGTCAGGACGCTCAGCCCTTGGGCCCAGCATGGGGATGGTGGGATGATGCCAACCTGCCAGAGTTCCAAAGAGCATGTTTAGTTGGGAGGCAATGTCAGGGCTGGGGAGTCCTGGGGCCAGAGAGGAGGGATGAGGATGGAGATCGTTCGGGGGTCTGCCCAAGAGGCTGATGTGAATGCACCCAGCACAGGGCCTGGCTCGTGTTGGCGCTCAGTAAAAGTTAGAAGAAGTTGGTGGATAAAGATACACATTCCGCCCCTCCCACCCTGGTCCAGCCCTGGCAGCTGATGGGAGAGTGGGTCATTCAATCCACACCTTCTTACTATCTCTTTAAAACTCGTATGACCCACAAAGTTGAAACTTGGGGTCAATGAGGTTGGTGGGCACATCCATGCAAGACAATTATCCTTCACATTTATCTATTACTTTATAGAATAAAATATTCTGATTTTGGAACTGGAAGGTGAAAGTTCAAGACCAGTGCTGCCACTTGCAGCTTTGGGGCCTTGGGTGCGTACCTCTCTGGGCTTAGCTTACTCTCCTATGAAGTGGGGTAATGGCAGTCTCTAGCCCACCTAGTCATTTCGAGTGAGGACATGATGACTCAGTGGTTGTGAAGTGGCTTTGCCAATGATGCCTTTAATAAATGGCACCCATTTCCAGGTTCTCCCAGGCCCCGTGGCCCCCAGGCCCTGAGTGGGTGCTCACAGGTGTAGATCGGCCACGTGAGGAGCCAGGGACACGATCAGCATGAACTGGGCATTCCTGCAGGGCCTCCTGAGCGGGGTCAACAAGTACTCCACGGCGCTGGGCCGCATCTGGCTGTCGGTGGTGTTCATCTTCCGCGTGCTGGTGTACGTGGTGGCCGCTGAGGAGGTATGGGACGATGAACAGAAGGACTTCATCTGCAACACCAAGCAGCCGGGCTGCCCCAACGTCTGCTACGATGAGTTCTTCCCCGTGTCCCACGTGCGCCTCTGGGCCCTGCAGCTCATCCTGGTCACGTGCCCCTCGCTGCTCGTGGTCATGCACGTGGCCTACCGCGAGGAGCGCGAGCGGAAGCACCGCCTGAAACACGGGCCCAACGCCCCATCCCTGTACGACAACCCGAGCAAGAAGCGTGGCGGGCTCTGGTGGACGTACTTACTGAGTCTCATCTTCAAGGCCGCCGTGGACTCTGGCTTCCTCTACATCTTCCACCGCCTCTACCAGAATTACGACATGCCCCGCGTGGTGGCCTGCTCTGAGTCGCCCTGCCCCCACACAGTGGACTGCTACATCTCCCGACCCACAGAGAAGAAGGTCTTCACCTACTTCATGGTGGCCACAGCTGTGATCTGCATCCTGCTCAACCTCAGTGAGGTCACCTACCTCGTGGGCAAGAGGTGCCTGGAGACCCTCGGCCCCAGGCATCAGAAGTCTCGGCGCCACGGTCACCTACCAGATACATGCCCACCATATGCCCTCTCCCAGGGAGAGCCCCACCAAGACGGGACCTCTGTCCTAATGAAGGCCGGCTCCGCCACAGTGGACGCAGCTGTGTATCCATAACCTGTGAAGCGGGCAGCTGGGACCATGCGACCCCCCGCCTGCTCCCTAAGGCCACGGCAGGGCAGTGGCATCTTTTCTGTGGCAGGTCAGGTGAGGAGGGTAGTTGTGGGGCTCAGGAAGTCCACCCAGGGGCCAGTGGGGGAACTGTTCCGTCTCTAGGTCCTGAGCCTCAGGACAGGGAAGTTGATGGCTAGTGAGGATTTTATATGTGGCAATAGAGTAGGCCAAAACCCTTAATAAATATGATTTTCCCAGAACTTTGCAGACCAGGTGGGGAGGGGTGGAGTGGAAAGCAGGGGGCTTCACGATGGACCTCAGAGAGGAGGCCAAGGTCACTTGGCGGGCACCTGAGCTCCAGAACATCAGATCCAGGTTCACCCATCACACACACACACACACACATTCACACACACAGTGTGTCCCCGGGACATGGTGGGGAATGACCTGAGGCTGCTCCAGAGGTCTCTGGAGCTGCAACCAGCTGTCAAGGCAAGAGGAGAGGGACCCCAGGAGCCCCTGAGCCCTGTGCAAGTCAGTTCCCAGCGAGTGTCCCTCAGATGGATGTGTGTGGCTCAAGAGGCCCCTGCCTCCCCCATTCCCTCACCCTGCCCAGCACAGGTCCTCTCTGGGGGTGGGAGGGGAAGGCTTGCTGAGAGCAGGTCCAGGATGGGGGTTCTGCCAGGGTGTTTAGGAGGCATATCCCCATGCGCAAGGGACCCATTGAGAGTGTCCAAGCTGAAGAGTCACTCAAAGATCCTCAAGTCTGAGGAATTGCCCTTCTCTTTACACATTCCCTCACCCTCCCCTCCCCCTACCACTCAGACCTCGGCAACTCCCAAAACCAACCTCCAGCCTGGACTTGCCTCTGAGCCCCAGAGCCCCCACCAGCTGCCCATGGACAACCCTCCAGGAGGCCCCTAGGTGTCTCCCACTCAGCAACTCCCAAGCTGACCTCGTCGTCATCTTCCCCCAAACCTGCCCTCCTCGCAGATCACCACCCCCACCCCCATGGCACTGCCATCCAGTCAGTGGTCCAAGCTGGGAGCTGGCCTGACATCCTCATCCCCTCCCCATCTCCCAGCCCCTCACCCCACATCTCAGTGCAGCACCAAATCCCACTAATTCCCACCCTAAATGCCTCCTGAGTCTGCCCCTCATCTCCACCCCACAGCCTTACCACCTGCCTCTCACTGGGCCTCTCCTGTCTGCCCTCCACTTCGGCGGGGACAGAGTGGTTTTCCTATAAATGAATCTGGAACATGTCATTCCTTGTGCCTTAAGAATTCTTCCACCACCACCACCACCCCTACCGCCCTCAGCCTGGCCCCTGCTGACCTCCCCAACCTCACTCCCCACTTCCTCCCTCCTTACACCCACTGACAATACCAAAGGACTCGTGGTTCCCCAACCAGATACACCATGCTGTGACATGCCTCATGCCTACAAGATGCTGTTCCCTCTGCCTGGAATGCCCTTCCTCCCTCCTCTGGGACCCTTCCTGGAACCCCAAGGACAGCCTTAACTGCCTTCTGCTTGTGCCAGCCTAGCCCATGCCTCTGCCATCTCCCCGAATCTGGGTGGCTGATTCTCCCCATCAGTTTGTGAGTCCATAGGGGCAGGATGCTGAGTCATCCAGGTGCCAGGGCCTTCAATAAATGTTTGTTAAATGAGTAAATGGCCTGTGAGCCGCTTGGTGGAGGTGACTGTGTCTTGTTTGTCTGAATCCCCCACCACACCTCGCCCAGGGAGTTCAGCATAGTGCTTTCTTGTTTGTTTATATGTTTTGTTGTTGTTTTACCTAAATCCAGCCTAAAGGTCTCATTTACAGGTGAGGAGACTTTGCTCTGGAGAGGGGAGGGGAATTTCCAAGGCCACACAGATGAGCTGAGCCTGGGGGGCTGTTTCCCCTGTGGTCCATGGAGAGCCTCCATGCCTACCCCTGATTATGGGACAAGATGAGAGGGTCCCCTCTCCCTAGGTCAGGGTCCCTGAGCTGAGCCAGTGGCAGGAATTCGTGAGCATGTGAAGGCGGAGCAAGGGCAGTGGGATGGGGGGACGGGGTTGAGCTGGGGGCTGAGCTGAGCAGGGTATGGGCTCAGGGCAAGTTAGCCTCGGCCTGACCCCTGTGGAGGGAGGGGCCTTTGGACCATAATTCCCGCCACAGAGTTGTTCCCACTGGAGGAAAAGGCACCTGGCTTTGGAACTCTCATATCAGTCAGTCATTGGCCCCAGGCCACCCAGAGGGCAGGAGGGTTGGGAGGAAGGGGTAGTGCCTCCCACTCAGTCAAGGTCCCTTCTCCAGGGGCAGCTACAAGCCGTGAGTGGCCAGTATTCACAGCAGCTGGGAAATGGGCATCCCCCAGTAAAGGGGACAGGGGCAGGGCACCAACGCCATCTACTGATCCTGACCCCAGGAAACAAGGGCGCCCCCTCCTCCAATCCAGACCAGAGGTGTGACTGCCCAGTCCCAGAGAACAGGGGGCACTCTCCACCAGTTCGGAACCAGATGGCCGTGCACTGCTCATATCTGAGGTAGCTCCATGTGCAGGGCCGGGGAGCAGCCATGGTCAACTCCCCCTGAGATTGCAGATTCCCCATTCCAGGGGATGCTGCTGGGCCAGCATGAGGTGAGATATCCTGGACCTGACTAGTCCCGTGGCAGCTGTCTTCATGGGTGCTGTTCCCAGAGGTCTCAAGTGCTGAGCCACTGAGCTAGATGGAGATGGAACAGCATCCGACCAGCCTGAGGCCCCAGGATCAGGCTGGGATAACCCTCTAGGAAATGCTTGAGTCGTGGCACTATCTTATTCTCAGTCCCACCCACACTCTCGAGCCCCCTCCATGGCCCTCACCACCACTCTCAGATCTCTTTGCCTCCACCTTCTTGAAAATTCTTCGCTTAGCTTAGGCCCCTGCCGTCTTTCTCTTCCACCCTCTGCCCGCCCCTATTCCTGCCACCCACTGCTCCTCATTCATTAAAGACTGGAGCACATGACTCAGAGTCTTCTGGTATTCTCTCATGACTCAGGGCCACGGGGACCACCTGTGTGTCCCTGTCCTCTTCATTCCATGCCCTCCTCATCCCCCGTGACCTCCTCCTCCACTCCACTTCGCTACCCACTCACAGGACCGCACCCCAGAGTTTGTCTTCACTCAGAACTGCTCCACCTCCAGAATCTTCCATTTGATTTAAGTCGACAAATACATATTGTTCACTTCTATGTGACGAGCCCCATGCTAGGTGCTGAGGAGTCACCTGGGAAGAATCGGGCACAGTCCCTGTGCTCCTGGAGCTTACATTCTCTGACGAGGACAGCTGCTAAACTCCCGGCATGCTGAGGAAGCACGGGTGCCAGGGGAGGGGACAGTGGAGCCAATACCGAGGCATCCAGGAAAAGGTCCCCTGAGACTTCTTAAGCTGACACCTAAAGAAAGAGGAGGATTTTGTCAAGCAAAGGGTGGATAGGATTCCAGGCAGAGGGGACAGGACATGAAAGGCCCAGAAAGGAGAGTAAATCTGATGACAAAGACGGGAAGTGACCCAGGAGGGCTTGAGCCAGGCGAGGGGGCTCGTGGTAGGAGTTAGGCTGCAATAGACAGAGGCCGGATCCAGGAGTGATTTCTTTGTAAAGCCATGTTCGTGATTTTGGACTTTATCCTAAGGACAATGAAGAGACTTAGCACAGAAATGACATGATCTAATTTGCAGTGTCTCTGGCTACAATGCGGAGGGGCCAAGGCAGGGCTGCCTGTCTGGAATCTGACACAATAGTCCAAGTGACAAACAACAATGGCCCAAAGTAGGGTGTGAGCAGTGGGGATGGAAAGAAGTAGCTGGATTGAAGAAATGTTTACGAGATAGGATCGGAAAGCTTTGGTGACTTGATTGGGTGTGGGGAACCGGTGGAGAGACACCCAGGTTTCTGGCTCTGGGTGGTGGTGCCATTTACCCAGTGGAGGAGCAGGTTTGAGGGAGACATCAATCACTTTGACATGCTGAGTCTGAGATACAGTAAGATATCCTGGTGATTCCCTCTGGTTCGTGGCCCATCTCAGCCCCTGGCTCGCTGTCTTTCTCTCCACTTCTACACTTATCATTCTTGGTGACTTCACATCCAACACCTCCTTGACCTCCTAACAATTGGAAACACCAGTTATCTTTTTCTCTACCCATCAAACCCAACTACATGCACACTCACACACCAGGCCTTGTCTGTACCAAGAGCTGCAGCATCTCCTATCTAGCTAGCTCACTCACTCTACTTGCCTCTCTAGCCACCCTTCTGTCCCATCTATTGACCCACCACTATTTCACCATTCATTACCAGCTTCCCATTCTCCCTTCCTTCCTTTCCAGCTTAAACTCCGTGGGCCACCATGTAGTCACTGATTCGTAAATATCCTCCACTCCCTTACCTTTCCGTGTTTTTATGGTTACTCACCTGGCAAGACCCTAACTCCAGTTAAACTTAACTCTCCTTGTGGCACCTGTTCCAGAGCACCTGGAGAACAATGCAAGTGGACTGACTGGTTTCAATCAAAACTTCAAGTGGGTACTCAGGACCTCTAAGAAACTCTACATTTTCCTAAAACTTTAACCCTATTCTCCAAGAGGATTATGTACTTTCTCCTCTTTCCCCAAACCTCCAGCCCCCATCCGCCTAACCCTCCATTTCAGCTGATAGCCAGGCATTATACACCACTGGGAAATAGAAGCCATAGGCAAGCGCCAGCTCATCTCCCCACGACCACGTCTGCCCACGTCATGGTGTGAGCGTCGTTCACTCTGCCTTCTCCCCAGTAACGTGGATGAAGTGTCCCCGCTCCTGGTACACCCTCCTCCACGGGGACACGGGACCCTATGACCTATGACCTACTCTGGACGGTGTCCACAGTCATCACCTCACAATCCCCTTTCAATAAATATGTTATCATGTTTTCCTCTCTCTCTTCTTTTAATTTCCTCTTGACACCTCCTCCTCCTCCTGCTACTACCCTGTTTACAAAAAACAAAATCCTCTAAAAGTTGTCTATGCTTGCTGTCTCTACATCCTCATCCCACTAACCCATTCCGGTCGGGACTGCTCTTGTCAAGATCTCCAATGGCCAACAAGTTGCCAAATCCAGTGGTCAAGTCTTCCTCCTCCTCTTACTCCCTCAGCAACATTTGGCCATTGAGAACTCCCTCCTTAACAGGTCCCAGTCCTCCCTTGGCTCCCAGGCAGCACCCTTCCTGGCTTTCCTCCCACCTCACTGATGGGTCTTTCTGGATCTCCATCGATGCCTCTTCTTCCTCTTGCTGATCTCTAAATGCAGGATGCCCTGCAGCCCAGTTCTCTACCCTCTTTTCTCCTTTGTATGCATTTTCTCCTCAGTGACTGGTTCAGTACCATCAACAAAACCATCTCTAAACTGATGACTCCCACATTTATATGTTCAGACCTAACCGCTCTCATGAGTATTAGAGTCATGTATCCAACTTCCTATTTGTCAACCAAATAGAAAACTCCTGATTGCCTTAACAGAGAACAGGTTTATGTTCTCTCCCAGTCTTCCCCACCATGGAAGATGCCATCCCCATCCATGCAGCTGCTCCATTCCAAAACCTAGGTCTCTCTTTCCTCATAATCACATCCACACCATTAGCAAGTCAAGTTGGATATAATTCCAAAATACGTTCAAGTCCATTACCTTCCTACCATCTCCAAGTGCTTCCATCCCAAGCCAAGGCATCTCACTGAATACCTGGAGACCTGGAGACCTGGATACCTGCAGCAGCTGGTTCCCTACCTCCACTCTATCGCCTCTGCTGTTCCTCCTCCACATGGCAGCCTGAGAGATCCTTCTAGCATGTAAATCAGATCAGTTAGGTCACTCCTCTGCTTAAAACCCTCCAACTAGCTTCCCATCACGGCCCTAAAAATGAAAATAAACCACACAGCAGTTAAGTTTGCACGTTCTGTTTCAGCAACCCTGGGGTTCGCCAGTTCAGATCCCAGGTGTGAACATGGCACCGCTTGGCAAGCCATGCTGTGGCAGGCATCCCACATATAAAGTAGAGGAAGATGGGCATGGATGTTAGCTCAGGACCAGTCTTCCTCAGCAAAAAGAGGAGGGTTGGCCGCACATGTTAGCTCAGGGCTAATCTTCCTCAAAAGAAAAGAAAAGAAAAGAAACCAAACTCTGCCATGGTCTGCAGACCCTACATGGTTAGGCCCTGGCTCTTCCCTTCTTGCATGCCCCACCCACAGTGGCCTTCTTCCACCTCAGGGCTTTGCACTGGCTTCTGCTGGTAATGCTCTTCCCCCAGAGCTTTCCTTGACTGTCTCCTTGGCATTCACATCTCAACTCAAACATCCCCTCTTCCAGGAGGCCATTACTGTCCTGCCTTCCCCAAAGGAAACACACACACCACACACAGTCACTCGAACCACAGACCCCATTCTATCTTCTTCATAGCATTTACTAATATATGAAACTTTCTTGCTTGTTTACATGTTTATTCTCTGCCTCATCCCACTAGGATGAGCTCCTCGAGAACAGGGACTCTGTTGGGTTCACCCCTTTACCCACCAGCACCTAGAACAGTGCCTGATACATAGTAGGTACTCAATAAAATGTGTCAGCTGACTGGGTGATTGGCACCCATATGGAAAGGTCTAGTAGGCTGGCGGATATGAGGGTGGGGGAAAGGACTGGTCAGGAGATAGGGATTTGGGAGTTGTCGGCAAAACGCCTGAATTTAAGATAAGATTTTGCTCCAAAATTCCCCCTCAGGTAGCAAGGATTTATCTCACATTCAAGTCCTTACAAGGTTGCCCGCATTATGGGGCGTGCTCTCAATTACTGTGTTTTGAACAACAAAATTCTCTTTGGGGGAAACTCATTAGCCTGAAATAACCTCAATCAATTTGAAGATTTGGATATTCATGGACGCCACTTGGTAGAATCAGAAAAAAATCGAGGCAAAGACATTTCACTCACTATTCCTGAGGATATGACCTTACAATTGCAAGCACCGTCTTTTTAAGCAAGCCAGTTTTTTTAAAAAATAAATCACTTTAAGAACAATAAAAGAAGTGTTTGTGTTGTGGAGATGAAAAATACACACCTACCAGACGATTTTTTTTAATTTATGCAACCAAATATTATGCACTCAGGCTTCTGTGCCAAAGAATAAAGTTTCCAACAGCATACAGAATCAAAAGGCACTATGTCACAGATAACTTGAGCAAAAATAAAGTTTGTGTGTTCTGTAAAAGGTTAATGATAAACAAAACTCTAATGATGTTGACCTAGGTGTTAAAGAAAAATGTTAAAAGTTTAAATTGCTTCATAAAATATGAGGGGAGGAAAAAAATAATACATCTTACTACATTGTTTTGTAAAATATGTGATTTTAAAAATGTATAGCAAACTAAGTTAATAAAGTAATTATTTCAATCACACTAAAAGTTTATGTATTCAAATTAGACCCAAACATTTTGGAGGGTCTCCTTGTTGGGAATAGACGGGGTTAATTTTTTTTTTTTTTTTGAGGAAGATTAGCCCTGAGCTAACTGCCGCCAATCCTCCTCTTTTTGCTGAGGAAGACTGGCCCTGAGCTAACATCCATGCCCATCTTCCTCCACTTTATATGTGGGACACCTACCACAGCATGGCATGCCAAGTGGTGCCATGTCTGCACCTGGGATCCGAACCGGCGAACCCCAGGCCGCGAAACAAAACGTGCACACTTAACCACTGCACCAAAGGGCCGGCCCCAAGAGGGGGTTAATTTTTATTTGGAGTTATCTTATATTTGGTTCTCTATGGTAGGTGGTAACTTAAGGCTAATACTTTACAGAGACTGTGGGGTAAGAGAGGAGAAGATGCCCTAGGATGGAGGCTTAAAGGCCAAAGAGAGTGGGGGAACGCCAGCGAAGGAGACTATGGGGGAAATTTATATCATAGAAGCCAAGGGAATATGATGTCACAGAGGAGGAAGGTGATGTCACAGAAACCGAGACAAGTGTTTTAGAGAAGTTTTTAGAACTCCTAGAAATTTCTAGAATCTTGAAGAGTTTCTAGAGGAGAAAGTGATCATCAGGACCAAACACTACCGTGGGTCAAATCAGATAAGGATTGAAAAGTGTTTATTAGATTGACAAAGATGGTCATTGGTACCCAAGGCAGGAGTATCATCTGTAGGGAAGAGGACATAGAAACCAGTTCCCGGTGAAGTGAGAGAACAGTGAGGGCCAAGCAAATGGAGATAGCAAATGTGGACAACTGACTGGAAAATGGTGGCTGCAAGAAGAATAGAAAATGAAAGAGTGTTAGTTGCAAGAGAAGGAGGGTGGTCAAGAAATTTTTTCTTTTTTCAATGAGAGAGACTTGAGAATATTTAAATAATGGTGAGATGAATCCAGCAAAGGGGAAAGGAGGTCAAGGCCCTCAAGAGAGCCAGAGAGAGTGGGATGCAGAGCCCAGAGGGAGGCTCAGACTTCAACAGGAGAAGACAAGTTGGCCATTGTAACAGGAGGGAAGGAGGAAACGGCGAGACAGGTGCGGGTCCTCCCACTCTGCCCACAGCTTCCCCCAGCCCTCTCACTTAGCTCCTCCTTCAACTTCCGCTCGTGTCAGTTCAACAGATCAACAGGTGACCTCAAAAGCACCTTCAGACCTGACGCTGTGACCTTCTCCCATCTGCCAGCCCCTCCTACATTGGCTTCCTTCTGTATCCAGCCTCGGCTTGGGATCCACAGCATCTCTCCACCACCTTCATCTCACATGAGGGCTTCTAAATTGATGTCTGCCCTCCCTCCCAGACTGCAAGCTCTCTGAGGGCAGGAACAGTGTCTGCTTTGCCAATGTCAGGCCCTATGCCGTGCCTGGCATGGAGTAAAAGGGTAATCAATATATATATATATATATATATAGTTTAGGAAGATTAGCCCTGAGCTAACTGCTGCCAATCCTCCCCTTTTTGCTGAGGAAGACTGGTCCTGAGCTAACATCCATGCCCATCCTCCTCTACTTTATATGTGGGACGCCTGCCACAACATGGCTTGCCAAGCGGTGCTATGTCCGCACCCAGGATCGGAACTGGCGAACCCCCGGCCGCCAAAGCAGAACATGCGAACTTAACTGCTGCGCCACCGGGCCGGCCCCAGTAATCAATACCTATTGAGATAATGACTTGAATGAATTGCTGTCCTACTAACATTCCCATTGTCCCTCTGCCCCTCCTGCTTAGCAATACTCCAGGCCCAGATCATTCCAACTGTGCTTTCCCGTCTCTGCACCAGGGCTAGGCTCTGCCAGAGTAAATCAAAGAACCAAACAGAGTGAGGCCACCACAAATTCATGTTCTCCAGCCCAGCCTGACAATCCTCGTTCTTCCCTGCTTTGGTCTCTCTGCTGTTGTTCAAGGTGGAAGCCTTCTTAACCTCTCCTCGAACCTCCTAGCCAGTTCCACCTTGTTTTCATCCTACCTCTCAGAGAAAGGAGATGCTATCTGAGAAGAATGCTCTCCTATTGATTGCCTCCAGACCTACAGACCAACGTATCCACACCAGTCCTCGCTCCTTCCCCCACACAGTGCAAGGGGTGAGCACTCCTGACTCACTTCTGTGAATGCGCTCCTCTCCCACCTGTGCTCAGGATCCCCTCTCTCCCCGCCTCCTACTCTCTCCTGCTTCTTCACCCTCCACCTCCCTCCTGGCTGTCTCAGCGTTTAAGCTTGCTCACATCTCTCCCATCCAAACAGCAAAAACAAAACGCTCCCTTGAACCCAGGACTCCTGCAGCTGCCTCCTTATCTCTCTCTTGGCTTTCACAACTGTGCCTCCTGAAACAGAGGTCTCACTGTCTCGACTTCCCAGCCTCCCACTCCCTCCACCAGCTGTGATCCAGTCTCTGCCCCACTACCCAACTCAAACACCTGGCCTTGCCAAGCACACCTACGATTCCTTTGTCACTAAGCCCAGTGAATGCTAACCAGTCCTTGTCTGGTGCCATGAGCCATTTAACAGGGTGGATGGCCTTCCTTCTTGAGCCTCTTGCCTGAGCCACGGACACCTTATGAGCTGCTGGGCTCACTCATGCTAACCATGAGTAAAAGCCTTGTGCGAAAGCCCATCAGTCCATGGAGAGAAGGAAGCAAAGGGTCAGAGAGGAGCAGAGGTGAGGCAAGCAGGAGGGAGGTCCTAGATGCATCCAGACCTGAATCCAGCCAGGTACTTCTGGGGCCCTAAGGTCCCCTCTCCCTTCCCATGTTTCTACAAACCAGTCAATTCCCCTTTGTGCCCAAACTAACTCAAGCTGGATTTCTGTCACTTGCAATCAAGAGGGCTGACTAACGCACCCGGGCTTCTTGAAATCAACCTTCCAGTTTTTCTGCCACTCCAACAACCCCGCCCGGATCTCCTACAGCCACCCCCCGTGCACTGGGGAGGTCCTCAGGGCTCTGTCACAGGCCGTCCACTCTCCTCGGTCCCCACACCTTCCCTGGGTGAGTTTGTCCTCTTCCATGGCCTTCGTTACTATCCGGACACTGTTCACTCCCAAATCCGTATTTCCATCCCTTTTATCTTTTTTCTTAATTTTTTTATTGTAATAAAATGTACATAACATGAAATTACCAATGTAACCATTTTAAAATGTACAATTCAGTAGCGTCAATTACATTCACAAGGTTGCACAACCATCATCACTATTTCCAGAACTTTTTCATCACCTCTAACAAAAACTCTGTACCCATTAAAAAATAACCCCAACTCGCCCCTCCATCCAACCTCTGGTAACCTCTACTTACTGTCTCTATGAATTTACCTATTCTAGATATTTCATATAAGTGGAATAATGCAATATTTGTCCTTTTGTGTCTGGCTTATTTCACTTAGCATAATGTTTTCAAGATTCATCTATATTGTAGCATTCATCAGAACTTGACTCCT